TTTTGGCTGATCCTGCGGGACCATATGACCAGCATTCCTTACTAAAACTTCTGTTAGATTACCAGCTACTTTGCCATAACCTGCAACATCATTGCCAACTTTCCATATGGTTCTATCAGCATTTTTATAGACATCGGCACTGTCGAACTTCAGTTTTTTTAGGTAGTTTATAGTAAGCGGGTATGCTACGATTATGTCCAATTGTCCATTATAAATAAGTACTCTATAATTATTTATTAGTTCAGATAGCCATGGTGCGATTGTATCCATGACATCTTCAAGTAGGTACTCTTCTACTTCTGTTCCTGAGTTATATGTTTTATTACCCACGTGTATTGCCTTACGTACCTTTTGTCTTTGTACAAAACTATCAGTGGAATCGCTTACAGATGATACATCCAAAAAGTTATAGTAGCTGGTAAGTCCTGTGGCGTTTTTAAATATTGATGGCCCCTGAATTAAATCACCATTGATTAGTGTATCGAAAAGTTTATAAGCCTTTTTAAAATCTTTTGCATTTATTGCATCTTTTCCAGCTTGTTCATATTGTTTAAACAGCGCTTTGGTATTTGTATCTATAAGGCCAATTTGGTACAAATAATCACTATACACTAATTGATTGACTGGATCACAAAGACCATTTCCAATAGCTAAGCCTTTTAGGTTAATTTTAAACTTGGCACTGGGGTTTTTCTTATGAATTGTATATGAAATGGCCGGTACATATTTGCCTGCATAGGACTCACCGGTAATAAAAAAGTCATTACGCTGTAACTCAGGAAATAAAAGGAAAAACTGTTGCAAAGCGGTGTACAGATCCTCCCCAACTTTTGTTTCATTTTGAGCATATCCACCATTAGTAAAACTGTAACCGGTTCCCACAGGATTATCTATGTAAATTACAGAGTGAGTTTTAGTCCAAGCGTACTCTCTCAGTTCAAGGTCACCGGCATGTTTAAATTGCACTGGTCCATTTTCAGCAAAAATAGCAAAAAGGGATGAAGAACCAGGTCCTCCTTGAAGCCAAAGTAGGACGGGGGCGTCTTCGTAGTTGTCCTCGGATGGAAAAAACCAGAAGAACAAGTTGGATTCAAAAGATTTGTCCACTGTTAGATATCCTGAGTAACTCTTGACTCCAAGTAGATCGTCCAAAATTACTTCGGATTTAGTTCTTGCTTCTTCAATATTTCCATTTTCAATTAAAGGTGTTAGAAATAAGGGTTCGCCCACATCTCCAATTGATTTAAGAGTTTTAATTACTGGATATTTATTAAATAATCCAGCAAAAGTACTATTACCATATAATAACGCACACACTAAAAATAATAACTTCATTTTATACAATTCATATCAAACTAAATATCAATACAACATTTTAAGTTTATATAGGTTTCATATAGTGTTGTATTAAAGATAACATTTTTTTTATCGATAATGGATTGTTGATTTTATTATTTTTTGTGACTAGTTCATAGTAGACAAAGTAAGACAACAATCATAATCATAGTTTCTGGTTTGGCGGTTAATACTATTATACAATTTATTTATAATTTAATAATACTAAACTATTATATTTCCTAATAGAACGCACACTGACTAAAAATCCCAAAACGCAGACATTATAAAAAATTAGGTGACATATAAGTGAATATACAAGGGTTTTTGAGGTCGATGATTAAGAAGGTCAAGTATAATTTTCAAAAACAAATAGCGGATTCAAAATGGCCGACATTAAAAGAAAATTATCAGATTAAGTCCAAATCATGTATACGAAACCAAAATTAAAGATAAAAGAAAAACTGTTCGGATGTCGAGATGTACAATAGTTTTTGTGTTCGTTAATCTAATGGAAGTTTTAAAAAGGCTCACATTTTAGAAAAAAATGGTTAAATTCAATAAATTATGTATACAGGGGTCGCTCATTACGAACATTAAATCGGTTTTTATAAATTAAATATAATATTTATAAAATTTTGTCAACAAACATTATTCTAAACATTTACCTATATAAACTATTGTATGTATCCATTTCATGCCAACGCTATACCACGCTGTAGGGGAGAATATTTTAAGTATAAAAAAATTAAAAAAATGACAAGTGGTTTTCGTGTTATCAAGCTTTAAAGTTTTTTTAACTCGGCAATGCTGTGTTTCTTCTAAGCGGATTTAAAAACGGTTGTTATACATGGAAACTAAATATACATACAGGGTGTTATGTAATTAATGTTATATATTAAAATACTGAATACCTTTTGACATAAGAAGTAAAGGAAAAATATTTAAAAAAATATATTTCCAAAGAAAAAGAAAAAATATGCATTAGAAGTTTTTTATATTTTTTGTGATACGCCACTGGTTACACACTTGGTTTATCTCTGCACACTAATAATAATAATAATAATAATATTTATTGGGCAAAAAGAAATACAAAGAATTCTTTTACACAAAAGGTCAGGGTTCGCATATGAGATCTTCTACCCTGCCTGATATAAGTATAAATACACATGCCAGAAAATTAACAATAGAAAAAATAAAAATAAAAAGAAAATCAAACATTCTGTAATAAATTTTTTAGTGTTTTCTTAAAATTAATTTCAGATAATGATAACATATTAAGTGTCATATTAAGTAGCAAGGGGGCATTATATTGAAAGGATGATTTAAGTTTATTGGTTTTATGCAGAGGTATTGTATAACTATTAGTCCTTACTATAACTTGGTGTATAGATGACCTTAATATCAATATGTCAAATAAATAGGAAGGAATTTTATTTTTTATCAATTTAAAAAGAAAAACGCAATACAAAAAGGTAACTCGTTGTTCAATGTTTAAAATATTGTTAAAATTAAGATAGGTGTTATGTGGTCTCTGTAAGGTATGTTATATACATATCGCATACAAGAATTCTGAATTTTTTGAATTTTATTTTTGTTATAATTTGTAAGATAGTTGTAATACACTAGTGTTCTGTGAGTACATAGATGCCAACCAACAAAGTAGCTGCGCGTTGCCAGATGTAAAAAATTGTTACTAAAAATTTTTCTTGCAAAAAATAAATAAAAACTCAATAAATACAAAAGTTTTATGCCCTTAAAGGTCTAATACCCTTCTGTATTTATTTACTTATCCAGCTATTAGCTTAAGCAATGATTAGAAAATTTAGTACCTATTTTAAAAAAATTCATAACCACAAAATTAATTTTTTCATCGTTTTTTTTTTTCTGTTTACTCAGATGAAATTGGGACCAGTTCACAGGTTAAACTTTAAACATTTAATTTGTGTAAATAAATCCAAAAGCACTTCTTTTAGTTAAGATATTTACAATTTGAGCACATAACCTAAAATTTGAAGAAATGCACTAGATTCTGTCATAAAAGTTGTCAGATTTTGTTTAAATTTACATTCAGTACAAAAATGACATTACCAACAATTAATAAAAACGCCAAATTGACAATTTGCATTGTTAATTTTGTCATTTTTGTAATTAAGCTAAATTTAAACAATGTTTGTCAACTTTTTTGACAGAATTTGGAAAAGCTGTTGTAACCAACCATAACATAATACATTAAATTAGGCAACCAGATTAGCCTAAAGTTCCTATTCGATCAGTTTTTTAGTAGGATAAAGGTTATTATAAATTATTTTTAGTCTTTGGAATTTAGAAAAAAAAAGTTTCAGGTGCTTCTTAATGGACCCTAAGGAACAACCCATTTTAATATATAACATTAATTACATAACACCCTGTATAGTTCCGGTCAAAATCTAAATCATCATCACTTGTTATTATTAACAATTTTTTTTTTTGGAAAAGGAGATAGAAATGGTTGACGACTTCGAATATTGATAAAAGACAATAATTATTAAGACGTATTCCTCGTTCCGCATTATTCTCATCGTCTGGGATACTTTCGATTCAGTTATTTTCAAATAAAACATTTCTGTGGACAACTGTTTACATTAATTGCATTTTAAGCTTGTTTATATGCTCTAGTATTTGTATCTAGATGTTTAAACTTTTATAGGTATAAAATATTGATTGGATGAATCATAAAAAACTATTTTTAATAGTTGATCACTGGGTCTTTTTTTTAGTTTAGAAAGTAGCCTTTATAATATATTATTGTATGATAAATGTGGAGCAAACATGCAAAAGCCAAAAATGTGTACAGCAGAATCCCCCAAATATTTAAAAACTATAGTTTATATTATAGTTTATATATATTTATATTATAATATATATTTATATATTAAAAAGGAAATGTTGCCCTATTTCGGTTTTAATTTAAAATGGTCAAAGGTCAAAGGAGTTTACCAAGATTAGTAAGAATCAGCCCTCTTAATGATATTACTATAAAGATAAAATACATTTTAAAACATTTTGTATAAAAAAATAATAAGATAACCTACATATTTGGTATTTTATCAATATATTTAAAATATTTCGAAGATAACAACATTGTTTATTTTATATTTCTATTGTTTATATAATTAAAAGTACAATTTTTATCACTATTACAAATGGTTATTTATATAAAATGAGACAACAATGTAATAAATTAACCAATTTAAAAAACTTTAGAAAATGGAACAACGCGTTTCAACAATCCCAAACATTGAAGTCGTTTATATTTTTTGCGCTCTTTCTTGTAGAGATCTACGCTTCGCACTTAATTAAACTTGGTCAAACTTTCTGGTGTATCACATTGAGTTTTGTGTAATTTGAAAGTGTGGATCCCCGAATATGTATATAGGCAGAGTAATTTTTTCCTGGTGTCGTTTTTTCTTTAATTTTTGTATTTTCTCCCATGAAAGGCAAGTCGAAAAATTTTTTCATAATTTTTTAATTATGTTGCTAAAGGATAAAAAATAATACACGTTAAATCGTTTTTTATTATAGAAAAAAAATAAGGAACATGTTATAATGTATTATATTAATACAATATTTATAATAATATTATACTACCTTTATATTATACATTATTATATTATGTATGTTGTTTAGTTTAAATTTCCTCTTTTAGCCTGTTCCATTTCTATAGCCTCAAATAAGGCTCTAAAATTTGCTGCTCCAAAACCCTAAAATTATTTACGTTTAGAATAAAGAAAATATTTACATTGATAGGACTTACATTATGATTTCTCCTTTGAATCAATTCAATGAACAAAGTTGGTCTATCTTGCATGTTTTTGGTGAAAATTTGAAGCAAATATCCATTTTCATCGTAATCAACCAAAATTTTTAATTCCTTAAAATTTTTTTAATTTTTCAAAACAAAAATAATAAATAAATTCTTACTTGCAACACGTTAAGATCTTCTTGAATATCAATATTGCAAGTTTTAAGGTTATCCTTCAACATTTTGTAGTAACTATCAGGCACTTGAAGAAATTCCATACCTCTTTCTTTTAAATTTATCACCTGGATAAAAATAAATGTTTATGTTATATTTATGGGAGGGTTTAATCAAGGTCCGCCACAAAAGTCAATGACAAATATCTACTACCTTATAAAACCAATATAAAAAGATATAAAATCAATGAAAAGTTACAAAATAATACGCTGCATCGGATATTTTTTTGGAGGGTGATATTATATTTAAATTTTGGGCATTTAATACTTAAAACAAGTATAAAATCTAAATCATAGGATTAATAATTATAAGTATTATTTATTATTTAAATATTAATTTTACAACTCACAGAATCGACAAGATTCTCCGTATGGAATGCAATATGTTGTACACCAGGGCCTCCGTGATATTCTACGAACTCTTCAATTTGACTTTTACGTAACCCCGTAGCGGGCTCAGCTATTGTAATCTAAAAATAGTTTTTCTATTCAATCGTTCTATAGTTTAAACTTTAATGTTAAACATACTACAGCGATTGATTATTGCCTAGGCTATACAAATAATATAGACCAATGGGGTAGCTTTTACCCCCTAGTCTGTAAAAAAAACCGTTTAAACAAATAAAATAAATTCGGCTACCGTCATATACATATACCTATCCCTACTTTATACTTTTAATTATTGCTGTACAATTTAGCCGGTTAAGCCGGCCAAAAAAGTTAGCTAAGTTAATTTTCTAGCTAACTGATCAGCTTAACTAATTTAACCGGTTAACTAAATCAGCTTAGCTAATTATCTGGCGGCTTAACCGGTTAATTTAGCTTAGCTCAGCTAATTAGCTAACGGCTAACCGGCTAAAGGGCTAATTTTTTTAAGCTATATAATGTTTTCTTATTCGCGGAAGGTTAATAAAATAATAATATGTTGCTTTTATGACAAACAATAATTTTATTAGGATAAATAATATTTTACATTTTATTTATAAAAATGGCTTAATTGTTAAATTTTTTTTTCAGTTATATCTCTATTTTAGTAAAGGAAAATTAATAAATTTGCATTTTCGGGAAGCAGTTCCGTTTAGAGCTTATAATATTTCCGGCTGAGGTGCTAGATGACAGGTGACAGATTTCAAGTTGACAGATGACAAATATCTGATGACAAATGACAGATGACAGACGAAATATGACAGATAACAGACGAAATGTGACAGATGACAATTGACAGATGACAGGTGACAGACGAAATGTGACAGATGACAATTGACAGATGAAAGATTACAGGTGACAGATTACAGGTGACAGATTACAGGTGACAGGTGACAGGTGGCAAATGACACCTTTAATCTGTCATCTGTCAATTGTCATCTGTCAATTGTCATCTGCCACATTTCGTCTGTCACCTGACATCTGTCACCTTTCATCTGTCACCTGTGTTGTGTCATATGTCAATTTTCATCTGTCACATCTGTCACATGTCATTTGTCATCAGCTATTTGTCATCTGTCAACTTTATATCTGTCACCTGTCATCTGGCACCTCAACCGGAAATATTATAAGCTCTAAACGGCACTGCTTACTTCCCGAAAATGCAAATTTATTAATTTTCCTTTGCCAAAATAGAGATATAACTGAAAAAAAATTTAACAATTAATCTAAAAGCCATTTTTATAAATAAAATGTAAAATATTATTTAACCTAATAAATTACTCTATTATTGTTTGTCATAAAAGCAACATCAACAATATTATTTTTTTAAGCTGTCCTTGAATAAGAAATCATTATATAGCTTAAAAAAATAGCCGGTTAGCCGTTAGCTAATTACCTGAGCTAAGCTAAATTAACCGGTTAAGCCGCCAGCTAATTAGCTAAGCTAATTTAGTTAACCTTTTAAATTAGCTAATTAACTTAGCTAACTTTTTTGGCCGGCTTAACCGGCTAAATTGTACAGCACTACTTTTAATATAATATTATAATATTTATTATTATTATTATTAATAATTATAATTGTATGTTTTATGTATCGATTAGCAAATATCAGTATGCCTTTAAGATAAAACATTGTGTACCATTCAGATAAGAAGTGTTTTTATGCTTCGCTCAATTGTAGGCCCCCGCTACGCGTCGTCCTTCAAACTTTAAGCTCAGCACAAAAAGACTTACTTAGAATTATTTTATAAATTACTGATTTACACCAAATCTATTTTTTTTAATATTGAGTGAAGGACCTCAACGATCTTACCTTAATGTTTTCCTCCCAATTACTCATTATAGTTGACCTTAGTGAGGAATATTTAGTTTGAACATCTTTATCATCAACAGACCAAAATCTATGAAATTGTAAAACCTGTTCGTACCATTTTGCAATTGATTCCATGCCTTTATCGGGTTGATTACCAACTACGTGATCTATGTAGTCAAAATTGGAAGGAGGCCTAAAATATAAAAATATAAATATTTACCCCTTTTTGTTGAGCTACATCCATTTTTCTATTAAAATATATTGATGATGGTTATTTGATTTTACTGACTAGTAAGTTTGTTTTTATTATTTATTGTAAAAAAATATTTATTACATTTCAGCAATGAACGGACCATGAAAATTGTTGTAATTTGCTAATTTTTGCGATTTTAAGATGGCTCCTGCGCCAGCACCACTAATTTTGAAGAGTTCATATAAAATAGAATACGTAAACTTGGCCCTACAAAATTATTATGTACAGAAAAAAATTAAAATTTGAAATTTTCTAAAAATTCTGTCCCCATATTTATCTTTATTTTATTTTATATGGTTAAATGTTGTAACAATAAATGTTACAAGTCAAATTTCGCCATTTGAGATTGTACACTGTTTAAAATATCTGTGGTGTAAAGAGTAATCTTAAAATTGTGTCAAAATCCAACACCAAGTGGTGTTAATATTAACGCCATGAATTATGGTTGATAATGTTATATCCAGCAAACACCAAAACAGTGTTTATCTAAAAATATTTGAGAAGTGCACCTATAGGTGCACAGAAAATAGGAATAGTTCATTTAACTATATTAATTTAGTTGACAAAGTTTAGTTTGACGGTACTAAACCAGATAGTTATTTTATTTTTTTTAAATTGGTTAAATTAACCCACTATGTTAAAACAATTAAAACAATTTGCCGTGCATTCCTGGTTGCATAGTGTGTACCGATCGCGGCAAAGGCGGTGTGGATCACGTGATGTTCTTAAATCTCCCTTCTGTTGACTTACATGAAGAGTATATAAGCTCAGGTAGTCCTTTGCTTTGGTGTGACACTACAAGTTCTTCGATACTAAAGAGACCTTAAATATGTGGAAACAGCTGTCAATACTTGAAGCATTTTAAGTTGGTGGAACGCACTAAAAACATTATCTCTAGCGAGTTGAATATTCAATTTTCTGGAATAATACCACTGGTAATATACTTGTAATGTGTCAGGAAACTTCCTGTTATTAATATTAAGAGGTCTATCAACGCAATTTTAATTTTTTTTTCCTCATCAATTTTCTTCAAAAAATATTCTTAAGTCAATTTTGTTAAACTCAATGATTTGGGAGTTCTGAGACAAAAACACGCTCAGGAAAAAAAATCTAAAATTGCGATGATAGACCTCTTAATATTAATATTATGGACTCAAACTTTTACCATATTTTTTTTTTTGTCAACCCAAACAATATTTTCGATATACTTTTCAAAAAAAAAAATAGTCGATTTTTTTGGACCAGTCTACTCTTCATGTAAGTCAACCAGAGCTGTTCCGAGTACAATGAAAAAGTACTCGAGTACTGAATACAAGTACTCTTATATAAAAGTACTCGAGTACCAAGTACAAGTACAGTACCGTTGTACTCGAGTACCCATACGAGTACAAAGTACCGAGTACACTTTAGTTATGAAATGTTGGGTAAAATGCTAGAGAAATGGGGCGAATAAGAAATGAATTTAGAATCACTAGTGCAAAACTAAACACTAGCCGGCCTATTGCCTTCATCAAATATTGATATTTCGCTTTATGTTAATTATCAAGGCCGGCTAGTATCATGTTTCACTTTGCCTTAGCTTTATTTTTTAATTATCTTTTTGAGGAATATTGTCACCTTATTTCTACCAAAATATAAACAAAATTACATTTCATACATAAGTAAAAACCTTTTGTTCATTGCTCTTTTTTGTGTCTTTTTATTTATTGATTGAGGTTGTTTTAAGGCTGTCGTGTGAGTCAAGCTGGCTGATGCTGCCTCAGGCAGCATGTCCGTAATTTGACAAGTCTGAGCAGTATTGCCAAATTTTCAACACCCACGCACATATGTGTCCACGCCAACCTCACTGCATAAAAATGTACTCATTGCATACTTTGGATGTACTCGAGGACACGTAAAAGTACTCGAGTACACGGGAAAGTACTCGAGTACACGGGAAAGTACTCAAATACATGGGAAAGTACTCGAGTACATTTTTGCAATCTTAAATGTATCAAGTACAAGTATAAGTACATTCAAATTAAAGTACTCGGGACTGAGTACCGAGTACACTGAAAGTACTTGGAGTACAGTGTTTGAGTACTTGTACTCGAGTACCGCACAGCTCTGAAGTCAACAGAGGCGAAATTTAAGAACGTGATTCACACCGCCTTTGCCGCGATCGGTACACACTATGCAACAAGGAATGCACGGCAAATTGTTTTAATCGTTTTAACAGAGTGCTTTAGGTTGAAGTAACTCTTATTTTACAAACAACATATTTAGTAAACTGAACCATACAGCGGGTTGGTTTCACTAAAGTTTTCTGGGTTAATTTAACCAATTAAAAAAAAATAATAACTATCTGGTTTAGTACCGTCAAACTAATCTTTGTTTATATTAACCTTCCCACAGTTGATTTAAATAAATACTTATGGGTCAACTAAATTAATATAGTTAAATGAACTATTCCTTTTTTTCTGTGTAGGTGCACTTCTCAAATATTTTTAGATAAACACCGTTTTGGTGTTTGCTGTATAAAACATTTTCAACCATAATTCATGGTGTTATATTAACACCACTTGGTGTTGGATTTTGACACCATTTTAAGATTACTCTTTACACCACAGATATTTTAAACAGTGTATATTTATTTTCTCAATAAAGACGTTTTTTATTATTATTATTATTATTATTATTATTATTATTATTATTAACAGTTCTGATACTTCTCTAAAAGTCAAACCCATCTAAACTTAAATATTTTCTTCCAAAACAAGCATTAAAAATATAAATCTCTTAAAGGGGTCCACCCCCCAATAAGAGAACATGACTAGCTGGCCTGAAAATTTAAAGGTTTTTCCTTGACATTTTGGAGGGTAAAGATAGCTAATTTTAAAAACTATCAAATTTTAAGATGCCCGCCATTTTGAATTTTCAAATTCAAATATATTCTCTTAAAATGAATTGGTCAAAAATAACTAATTATAAGTCATATTTGACTAATTGTCATAGCGAAAAAGCAGTCACTAATAATTAGTCAAATTCTACTGAATGAAATAGTCAAATTTAAAAAAAGTTTTGACCCAGCCGGGGATTGAACTCAGGTCTATCACTTGTCAAGCTTGTCAAGCTGTTGTCATAACCCATTCGGCCATCAGCCCCTCTTATAAAAATCAATTTTATTTGTCAATAAATATTGTTCATAATATTTTAAAGTTGAATATATTATTTGTTTGGCTGTTTTAAGCTAAAATTTTTGCATCATTATTTGTTTTTATGGGTCATTTTACCATGGAGATTGGGTATATGCATTTAATTCAAATATTACTTTGTTGTTGGCCGCACGATTAAAGAAATTAGTTACTTTTAACTCTCAGAAATAGTCAAAGATGGTGACTAATCTTAAATTAGTCAAACTTTAACTTTTGCGTAGTAAAAAACAACTATTTAAAAGTAAAAACGAATATTTTATTAGTAAAAAATGATGGTACTAATTCAAATAGTAGAATTTTGACAATTTCATTTTTAGAGAGTAAGAATTGTTATCAGCGACTCCTAAAACCCTTTTATCTTTTAATGCATGCAAAAATGTCGACCATTTTGTATCTGCCATTTTAATTTTTTTAAATCTGATATCAAAATCTTAATCAGAGCTCCCAAAAACCAATTTTGCTGGTCAATTCAATGCTTTTTCAAAATTTGGCCAGTTTTTCCGCAAATCCGCCTGTGTGCGGCGTTTAAATACGAGTTTTAAAACAAAAAAATGTTTGACAAAATGTTCTTGCATAAGTCACTGCCACAGACCTAGGTCTGTGGTCACTGCTAAAATTAATGTTAAAAAATGGCAATCATAATTTTTTTTAAATTTATTTGGGTGAACTTCTTGTTAGAAACCACTATTTAATTTTTTTACAACATTTATGATAAACTCCGTTTATAAAAAACATTATTTTAATTTTAAAAACTATTCAATTAAAAATGGAAATTTGTAGCTTTTTGTTACCTACTAATTTAATTCCGGAGGTGTTTAGTTGATATTTGTGGGTTAATTTTGTCATTAGCAATATTATATCTATTCCTTAAAGTAAGACGGATATTTGAATTAACTTGATATTCTTCTATTTTAAGACAGTTATATCATTTTTTTTTTAAATGGTTATATTTACCTTTACATTGAGTTTGTAATAAAACTCTCATATCTATATTATATTTGAATTCGGCAATTTTAAAACTTAATACCAATGCTTATTGATTATTAAGTTTCATTTATTAATATGGTGCCGTCTTACTCTTAAAATTGGGACAACGTATCTAGGGAATTCTAGGGAAAAATTGCAACGCCACCCCGCCTGGGGACTTTTATTTTCATCTATATGACATTAAGGTTTCAGAAAAAAAATGCTTGGGACATTTATAAAATGTAATTTAATACGAGGCAGGGAGAATATAATATCGACATGGTATGAATTTCTTTATATTTAGAAGTGTTTACACTGAAAGAAAAAAATGGTTAAATTAAGCAATAAATCAACAGTTTTTGCACACACTATGTTTACTTGGAGTTAAAAGAACCATTCATGAATGTTAAAATATAAATGTTGTTTTAAAAATATTTAAAATTATTTCATTAAAATTTCAGAAATTAATTTTAACCTTTAAACCTTTTTTTGGTCCAACTACTAAAAATATTAAAATAAAATACACGGGTTATTAAAATAATATTATCGTAATATTTAATCAAATTATTAAAAATATTAATTTAATGCACAATTAGTAGTAAAATAATAAACATGGGAGCAGTGTTAATCTTTAAAATTATTTGGATTAAAAAATGAATTGTTACTTAAATCAAATAATTAAAATATTGATTCAAAAAATTTTACTTAAAAAATAATGTTTTATTTAAAATATTGGATTATTAAACCAAATATAAAAGTATGTAAATGTAACTAACTGGAATGGTTAAGTAAAATATCAAATTTATTTAAAAAAACTATTAGAAAAATACAATTGTAATTTAAATTTATTTGAGCACAAAATAAAACATAAAAGATTTAAATCAATTTTTTTTTTACTTTTTTTAAATTTTTGTATCCAAATTTTAATTAAAATCAAAAAAATCTGATTTTAATAATAAAAATCCGATTTTTTTTAAATCCTGATTAAACCCTGGTTTTAACTACAAACAAAAGTTTAATTGAATACGTAGGAATACACTACTTCAATACGTATCCAATACTTATGTATGTATACACAACTTAACCGTAATAGTTTGTTTGCACTCCTCTTAATTTTTAAAAAAAACTTCGAAGACCTGCTTTTGGAATTAAGTCTTTTAAAATTTCGGCGTTTAAATTTAAAAGCTTTTCCTCATCGATATCTTGTCCTACAATAAAGTTTATTTTATGGTATAATAATATTTTAATTAAATAAGCCTACCTTTAAAATCATCTCTCTTAAAATGAAATAGTCAAAATTCTACTATTTGAATTAGTACCAGCATTTTTTACTAATAAAATAGTCGTTTTCACTTTTAAATAGTTATTTTTTACTACGTAAATAGTTCAAGTTTGACTAATTAAAGATTAGTTACCTTTTTTGTCTATTTCTGTTAATAGTAACTAATTTCTTTAATTGTTTGCGGCCAAGAACAAAGTATTATTTGAATTAAATACATATACCTAGGCTCCATGGTTAAATGACCCATAAAAACAAATAAAGATGCAAAAAGTTTAGCTCAAAACAGCAACACAAATTATATATTCAACTTTAAAATATTAGGAACAATATTTAAGCCCGCTGCACAATAGCCCGGTAACGGGAACGGGAACGGGAATCCTAACAATAAAGGTGGGAGAGACTAAAAAACCACTGTTGATAGATAGGGTTCGCTGAGTCTCTCCCACCTTTACCGTTTAGATTCCCGTTTCCGTTCCCGTTACCGGCCTGTTGTGCAGCGGGCTTTATTGACAAATAAAATTGATTTTTATAAGAGCGGCTGATGGTTATGACAACAGCTTGATAAGTGACAGACCTGAGTTCAATCCCCGGCTTGGTCAAAACTTTTTTTAAATTTAAATCTACTAATTTGACTATTTCATTTAGTAGAATTTGACTAGTTATTAGTGACTGCTTTATCGCTATGACAATTAGTCAAATATGACTTATAATTAGTTATTTTTCCTAATTCATTTTAAGAGAGATCAATTATGTTGGCAAATCCCCATTTGTCTAATAACGATTCCATTGCTATAAAATTTAATTATGAAATACTTAATATTATAAATGCTATATTTAAACATGTACTTACCTACATGTACATTCAAATGATTGCTAGGTAATAATCATGTCACAAGCATGGTAACGCGAAAAATATTACTATAAACGTCTTTAATTATTATAAAACAATAATATTAAACATATTAGAGGCATTATGTATTGTAAAAAAAGATATATTAAAAAAATCACACTTACCAAGTTTTTTCACTGTTAAATTGCACCCAAACGACACTAGAACGAACAATGGAACGAACAATGGCGTGGTGGCAGAGATAGAGAAAGACGGCAGAACATGCTGCGCTATATAACGACATAATATACAACATTTAGGCAATTCATTTAACTCTCCGTATGAGTTTAATTAACAGTCTTACTCTCGGTTAAATTATCTTTACATTGAAGTAATAAGATAAAAATGTTAACAAAAATATCTTGCAATTTTAGAATAATTACTGCAATTAGTGCAAAATACAAAAGAAGATCGCTTCAATAATTTTACATATTCGTTTAATTTTTGTGTGTGTATTCATTTAACTAATAGAAAAATGATTTAATCAAATTTCTGAACAATATTTATTCAATATACGTTTAGTGTTGATATACCAATTTAAATAAAATGGACTATTAAAATAACATTTTTAATTTGACATTCTCAAAATATTAATTGAGAGTAAAATTTAAGTTTATGTCAACAAAATGTTTATTTTTTAATATCAAAAGCATTTCTAAAACTTTTGATTTAACAAATTCATTTTTCTCAGTGTACCAATTAGGTAATTTTTGACCAAAAACTTAATAACATAATATTTGGTAATAAGCAAGTGAAATAATTAGGATTATTAAACATTGTTTCAAATATTATTTTACTGAAAAAAGTTATTAACCATTTATTTATTATTAATATTATTATGTTTTACTATGTAAAGAATCTGCGTACTTACAATTTCATGCCTAAAGCATCAGGGCCACAAGGCACATATCCTGGCAAAAATAGCCCTTTATATTTACTTCTATCAATAAAAGTATGTGTATTTTCACCAAACTGAAAAGTTAGAATTTAAGTTTAATATTTAATCAATATATTTCCCTTACCGTCTGAATTATAGCCAATCTAACGGTACCATCATCGTCCGACTCTTCCCAAATATTTTTAACGACTTTAGCTCCACGAGCCTTTGCTGTCTAAAAAATATCAAAAACAATTTCTTACATTAACAATATTTTCTAAATTATCAACATCAAAAGCTTCATCACCATGTTTTGTCAAGAATTACTTACATTAACAATATTTTCTAAATTATCAACAGCAAAAGCTACATCTTTAATTTCATCGCCATGTTTCGCTAAATAACTTCCTAATTCTGTTTCATTGGGTTCATATGCCGAAATAAAAAGAAGAGTGATCTATTGAAATTTAAATGAATATATTTATAAACTTTAAAATATCTTTTAAACAAACGTCATTTTGCTGTACCACGTGTCCTGCATACTTTCTGCTTCCTGTTTCTAATCCTTTGTAAGCAACAGGTTGGAAACCTAATCTGGTAACATAATAGCTTGCCGCCTAAAATGTATTTTTAAATACTAAGCAATCACTAATTATAATTATTGTTCAAAGCTTTAGTTAGGGTGAACTGAACTTACCTGTTTTGCATTTCCAACAAAGAATGTCAAATGGTCGAAACCAAAAAATCTACCATTTGTTGGCTAAAACATTTAAGCAAACTCAGGGTCGGTTTATCAATTATCTGGTTAAGTTCCAGTTAGTCTATCTGATCTTGTTCCTTATTCCTTATCGATCGGTGAGAGAAAAATGGTATCCATGGAAATTATCTGCCAGATAACTAACTAAAACTTTAACTGGACATTGATAAACCTGCCCTAAGTTAACTACATTGATAATATATACAGGGTGAAGACTTTAATAAGAATAAATTCGCTAGAAGAGAGCTGAATTTAAAAAAAAATCCCGAGACACGTCGACCTTCAAATGAGGAGCATCCGTGCAAAACCGGCTATATCCACTTTAATAAAATGTTGGGAAAATGGCAAAAACTCTCGGTTTCCTGGCCTTTACAGATAAAAAAAAGCAAATTTGAGTTTTGTGGGCTTTATGGTACTTGAATTATAAGACATACTTTCGTTTTGAAAACCTTTATATTAAGGCCTAAATTTCAAAAAATGTTTTGTATATAGCCGGTTTTGCCCAAAAACCTACGAATAAAATGTGAAAAAAACCTTTATTATTCAAAAACATTAACAAAATAAATTTAGTGAAAACATGAATAAACAGAACAAATTTTAGTAGTAGTATCGACATATCCAAGCCACATGCTCATCATCATTATTATTTATTGGATATAGCCGGGTTTGCTATAAAAACGTGGATTTGGCCGGTTTTGCTTTTTGCTCCTAAAGTTACCTTTTAAATGTGATTTTAACATGGATATAGCCGAATTATCTTGGTTGTCGATAGAAATGAACTCAAAGATGCGAAATAAAAAAAAAACAAAAAACTGAATAAAATGTATTTAGCCGGTTTTGCACAGATGCTCCTCAAATGTATTTATCTACCTTTTTCACGCAAAATTTAAAATTTTGCCCTTCGAGGAGGGCGGAAACCACCCTAATTACTTTTTTATTTATAATTCAGTAAAATTTTGAGTCAAATGGTTTATGAAAAAATGTTTAGTTTTTTATACAATACAGTTTTTTATACAATACAAATATTATATAATTTAAAAATTTAACATACCTTGGATCCTTTATCTGTAAAATGAACCTAAAAATTATGTTTTATGAACTTGCATTTTTTTCACTGTATCTTACCATTTTCGAATACTTTACAAATACTACTGGTTATAATAAAAAATCTGTTTCAAAGAGCTTTTATAGTATTAAGCAAAAGCCACATTAAATATAAATGTAAAAAAATTGGGTCATCCTTGATGCAATCGAACATAATAATTTGCATAATTAAAATTAAAATTTCAGGTTTTAATTTTAACAGGTCAGTACTTAATGGGAATTATTTGAAAATATTCATTGTAATATTTTATTATTAAGCGTCTAAATTTTTAATTTAATTTTAATTTAATATAATAATAATAATAATTAATTTAGATGAGTAGAAAAGTCAAGACAATTTAAAATTTTTTTTTATTAATTTGTTTTGCCAGATATTCTTAAAAATAGAATAACATTATTATTACTGCCATAAGCCTAAAAAATATACAGTAGAGTGGGTATAATTCCGATTTTTTCGAAATTAATTTTGTATAAACAAAAATAATAATCTTTGAGCCAAAAAAATTACGTGCAAAGGATAATTAAGTTATAATTTTATGATAAAATCACAATTATCTAAATTATCTCTGAAACATTTATCTACATTTTTATCCAATTTGTGATTTTTTTCGCATACTACACTTTACAGTTACAACTACCATCTTTTGTTTTTCCTATGGCCACCATAGTAAAATTTTATAAGTTTAGATAGAAAAAAACACAAGTAATCCAACGATATATCAAATTACAAAAGTGTTGGCGGCTATTATGAAAACAAAAGATGGTAACTCAAAATAAAGTAGGGAAGAAATTGGATAAAAATATAGATTAATGTGTATGTTTACATAAAAAACTTGCTTATTTTTAGTTTTAAAAGGTTTTTAGTTTTTTTCAAATATTTTAAGAAACACTGGCTTTTTTCCAATTTATAAATTTTATTTTAATAGGGTTATAATTACGCAACGTTTTTATAATTTAACCGAGCTTTTCAAATAAAAAAATACCCATAGAAGTATACCTACAAATAGAAGGATATTTGGTGCACCCTGTATACTATAAAATGACCAGTTAATATATATTTTTTAAATAAATAGCATACGTAAACAATAACATTAAGAAAAGTACCACACTGCAAATAAATACAATGCTATTAAAATTATATGTATGATAAAAACGGTAAATAAAAACAAGCTACTAAAAATATGCAATAAATTAAAAATTTTAACATTGCCGCCAGTCAATTATAAATTATTAAAATAATGTAATTATTTTAAAAATAAATGCAAGTGGTTAATTTACATAGGCTTAACCATTGTGTAATATTAATGCAAACGGGTCTTTACAATTAAAAACCCTCAAAAGATAACCACATGGTACATAATAATAATGATAATAATAATAATAGTTTATTTACCAAAAATTACAATAATGAAATACACAACAAAAATAAATAATATAATGTAAATAATAGTAGTCAAAATAAAAAAAATATTTAAAATACTAATAAAAAATAAATATAAGAAATAAAATATAACGACATAATAAAATAATAAAATGTACACACATGGTAAAATAAAAACTTAAGAACTAGCAAATTGTATAACGCTTATTTTTTTCCAATTATATAATAAATATATATTCCTTAATATATTTTTTAAAAGTATACCTCAGTTTCGATTGCACCTGTCATAATTTTTGTTTTGCTGTACTTTTTGATATTGCCAAGGACACAGAATAAACTAATACTGTTTTAAAAATAATCCTTCTAATAATTATTATTTAGGCGCAAATGAATTTAATCTAAGATTGTATTTACTATATTTATATTGATTACTCACTATAATTATTATATTATATATTTATTTGTTAACCGTTCAAAGTAAAAAAAATATTTGTTAATCTTAACCAATTATTACCCAGATTTTATGTTAAGTTTACAACCAACTGTAATCTGTTAACTAATTAAATAAGTAGTTTGTATTTATTACAAATATTTTGTAGATTTAATAACAAAATCCTATTTTAAACAAAGTATTTGTTGGAAATTGGAACCTTAAAAATAATTTTGATAAGAAATGTTGCTTTATTAATTAATTTCCTTAAACACATACCTACTTAAATGAACACATAAATAACATACACACAATTAAATAACACACCATTCTGAAATCATCAAATTATAAAGAAATTTGGTACAATATAATTATCAGTACCTACAGCAACACTACACTGATGTATTAACTTTAACCCACTTTACTGTATCCCCTAATTTCAATTTGAAAACCGGAATCCGAATAAAAATAATAACAGATTTCTGGTATATTATAAACACTCTGGACAATTGTTACGAACACGTTACGAATTAGAATAAAGTAAGCAGAAACATAAGTTGCAGACGCTGTCAGTTGAACTTGTTGATGCGTATTGTCAGTGGGAAATGTTTTGATTGTCTGCCTAAAATCACGTGTACTTTTTCAACGAAATTATTTGTTTAACATTAACAAAATAACCTGTAACCTTTGAAATTAAAAAATGCTTACAAAATTACACATTACCTTTACAGAACTTTCGGTAAAATATTTTCCTTTGTTAAAATAATTACAAACCCTGGTTTTCTACAAAAAATTATGTTAGCATTTTACAAAATAAAATTAACATACTACAAACATGTTAACAGCAGTGTTATTATCATTATAAGGACTAATTTTTTAATAAATATATGTATGCATTTTAAAGAAATGCGATAAAGAAATCCCCTTTTTAAAACATATTTTTACTGGATTCTGTCAATTTCTGAAATCAGATTGTTCTCATTAGATGACCTTTAAAATGGATAACGCTTATCGAAAAGGAACCAAGCACCAAAAACTTCTTCTGGGCTTAGTAAAATTATTTGTAAAATTACTCATTTTAAATAATGCTCAAAAGGTTGATCATCATTTGGAACTTTTCTCAAAAGGATTGAGAGAGTTCCCAAATCATTATTAATTTTTTGAGCAGCATTAAAAATTAGTTATTTTGCAAATAATTTTGTTTGTCCAGATAAACGTTATCCAAATAAAGGTTTTAGACGTCGACTTTATTTTGAAATGAACACTTCTTGAATATAAATTGAATAGTTGTTACAAATAACAACCAACAAATAAGTATTAATGCATTCTAAAAATGATTCATTTTATTGGACGTAGTTTGTTGGGGAACAGTATTTTATGTTGTCCTTTCCGACCATCCAATACAGCTAAAATATATTGTAAACACACGCCACAAATCAGAAATGTCTCGCACAGGAAATGGCTCAATTGCTAATGTATTAGCCGAATGTCCTGAACATTCCAACACATCTATCGATTCAAAATTATTATATCCCATTAGAATAGTTCAACAATTTATACCCAATACCAATAAATACAAATATACGAACCTTAAGATCTTTGAATCTATTTCGGATGTGCTCTCCTTTCGAATGTTGGTCACAATTTAGAACATCTGATCCAATGTACTGAAACAAAAACAGTATTGTTAATTACATTCAAAATGCTTTAAATACAATTCACAAATAAAAACTTTTAAACCTGTGGTAATACTCGTATATACAGTTTTATGTAGTATGTAGTATTTGAAATGTTGTAAATATACAGTAATTGTTGTAAATATACAAGCTCTATGACAAACTTTGGCAGATGGCTGGGTCAACACTAAACATATTTATTTTCTATATTGAACACGGATCCGATTCGGTTTTTTTAGAAGTTATAAAAATAATTAATAAAAATAAAAAATCTTAACCCTACAAAAATTGTTCAAATTGTCCACCCTCGGCTTGAATGCAGCCTCACATAGACGAACTAAAAATTCTGTCACTCGACGGATGAGATTTTGATAATTTCTTATATGGTTAGCTACCTACTGAATTCTTCATGTAACATGGTCGACAAGCTGCTTCATGTGTTCCCCAATAAAAATCTAAAAAATCTCTGACCTTTAAATTTATTTGGGAAACGTTTATTTAACCAAGCAGTTATTTGTCTATGTGGAGCTGCACCATCTAGCTGATATATATTCTAAACAATATTAAGCTCTACGAAATCACAATGGTCGTGTTTCAAAAAATTATTTACAGTTTAATATCTAATTCAGCAAAGTTTATTTGAATAACATTTTTAAAAATTAAATAATAACCTATTACTATTATTATTACTATTATTATTATTTTGTAAGAATATACAAACCATATGCATATTATGCATATGAAATTGCTTTCTATATCAATCTATAAAATAAAAATTAACAAATTTTGTTACTGAGTTAAAAAATTTATAACAAAAAATAATGTTAGCAGCTATGCATCTTGAGGTTTTGGGATAGGGAATTATTTCATAACCGACCGAAACAAGAGTTTTAATGTCAACATAAAAATATGACAGATTGCAGGCAAACCATATACTGGGAGACCAAAAAAAATTCAATAATTCGACTTTGTTAAGTTAACAGGTAACAGGTAAAATATTTCGATAGATTTTCGAAAATCTGTTTGCCAGGAAATAGACACGAGGGCACGTACGGCTCAAAAGTCTATTGCTAAATGGAAACAGGTTTGAAGAAAAATGTGGATAATTATTTTCAATTTATCAACCTTTCGTGTGGAATTCGTTGGATTATTTATGGATGTAACAATAATGTCTTAAAAATAATTATAAATTAAACAAAAAACACTTTCTTTAAAATATAGTCCTGGCATTAATGTAAGTAGGTTATTTAAGGAGGTCCATTCCAAAACTCGGCTTATCCACTTTTTAATAAAAATGACTTAGTGGTGTCTGCACATTTAACATGTAGCCCTCTATACCCTAAAAGGTCATAATATTCTCACCTTATTCCATTTAACATTTATTTACCAATTGACTATCATTCCAAAACTTGCCCCAGGATATAAATTCATTTCCGTTTTTCCGCAAAGAAATTTGTACTATTTCCTCGGTTTCCTTTTTTATTCGTTGTTTGCAAGAATCATTTGTATGGTCAGGCAAAAACTAAGTGCCACTTGA